GCTGGCAGTCCGGCGACGTGCGTTGAAGAGCTACCCGAGTGCACGCTGGATCTCATGGTAGATTTCACGAAGAATTATTACGAGCACTTCTTACCGGCGCGCGTTTAACGTCTATCTGTATATGTCAATAGTTGCTTACAGTCGAAAGATTTATTCTTTACAGATACATTACATACTTGTGCTGTGCACTCAAAATGAGATAAATACATAATTAAGTATTAAGCATACGCGTGACAGAGATTACGGGGAGGTACAACTAAAAAGAATAGATCTAAAATTAGCCGCATAGATTTTTTTTTATAATTACTGTATATATTTTGTTATACCTTTGGGTTAAAAAATATTTGAACCAACTGTTCTGTTGTGTAATTTGAATGAAATTTTTTTGTATATGTTTCTGCATACAAAGTGGTCTATTGTTACTATTTAAAGATATGATAAGACTTAAAGAAAAAAATAGAGAAAAATATTATTTAATAAATATAAAATTATACAATTACATATTTTTTGAAAAAGCGACTTTATGTCTTCTTTATATCAATTAATTTATCTTATTGTGTAAAAGTTTTAAGGTTTGATTATCAAAAAGTCACTCCTTAATTACAAAGTCTTTTATATTTTATATCAAAATATGCCAGAATAATGTATAATATAGTTTACAAACTGTAGTTTGTATGTGTAAATTATTAGCTTATAAAATAGCGAGAACTTTAAAATCTCAAAAATATGATTTTCAGAAAAACTTTTTGTCTGTGTTTGCTCCTTCCAAATAATATTTTTCTCTAACTTTTTTCATATCTTCAAAAGATATTTTATATGATAATGATAAATAGACTAATCTGTAATATAGTATTAACTTAAAGTCTTTATTGCGGCTGATTTTAACTGAATTATTGTAACTCGTAAAATTTATTTATTGTAAGTAATTAATTTTATTGTACGTAAGTTAATCATAAAAGAAGGTTCGAAAGATTCATTAATCACATTGTACGCATTTATATTATAAGTAATCTATTTCGTACAGTGTTTTGTACATAAAAGGAGACTATTAAAATTTTATTAAAGGAATAATATATGTTTGATAATTATTTTATATGAAATGACGGACACATTAAACTGTATACTTATAATTCACGTACGTTTATTGCTAACTGCAAAGGATGCAAAACATCTAACAGAATAACAAGAAACTTTCTTGAAATTTTTAATACAATTCACAATGTAATCGGACATTTAGTGCAGTAGAAGCCTCAGGGAAAGTCAGGTGTCATTTGATTTCTTTTGAACTAATATACATTTCTGCAGTCATTTAATCCAGGTATTCTACAATATTAGTTTCTGCATTTGACATTTCTACAATATCAGTTTCTGCATTTGACGTTTCTACAATATTAGTTTCTGCATTTGACATTTCTTTTGTCGCGTGCATAGTTTGCCTACGAAAGAAAGTATAATAAATATAGCGCAAAGCATGATAACAACGTCTCTCTCTTAAATCTTACCTCTTGTGCCACAATAACTCGAACGCCAACACCATTACCGAGAAGAGTACCCCGTAGCCCATTGTGACCAGCGCGAAGTAACATTCTGTGAATCCGATA